AGCTAATAATATTGGGAATCAAATTTGATTTTCCCAATATAATAGTTATTCGGCACTTCGTGCCGAATAACTATTAAATATGTAAAAAAAAAAATAATAATTTTAATTTAAAATAAGATTTCTTTATTATAATTATTAGTAAATCTAAAAATTCTTTAATTTTTAAATTCTAAGTTATTAAACTCTAATTCTTATAAAATACTTTTATGTTCTTTTTATACAAAAATACAATTATAAAAAAATTTATTATCTAATACTATTATATAATAATAAAATATAATAAAATATTTAATTATATTAAATTTTTAATAATTAATATAATTAAAATAAATAATAATATGGTACCAGAAATCTATACTCAACAATAAAAATGTAATACTTAAAAAACTTTTAAAATTTTAAAAAATAAAATTTATAAAAAAAATAACCGGTAACTTTATTCTTTATAATAAGTTCTATCAAATTACCAGTCAGATTTTTAAAAAAAAGATCTACATAAAAAGTTATGGCCATTTAAATTTAAGTGATTTTTATATGATTAGCTTAAATTTGAAACAAATTCAATTTTGTGAACATAATTTTATTGGTTGAAATTTTTATTATTTAAGCCAACATTATGATAATTTAGCACTGACCTGAATTATGATAATTAATTATACTCACGTCTTGATTCAAATTTTAACTTTTGATTTTGATCTAGATCAATTTTAGCTTAAAATTAACAAATATCAATATATCAAAAATAACAAAAAGATAATAACAAGCAAAATATCTAAAAAGAAGGGCCATTTCATATTTTAAAAGCTAATAGAAGAGATTTTTGAACGAGAAAAAACTATTGGAGACGAAGCTGGTATTATTCTAATTTTTTTTACATAACGATAATGCAGAATATTATTTTATTATATGATTACGTTGAAAACATTTAACTTTTTTTTAGTAAGTAAAATGGAAGATGAAGCTATTAGGATAAAAGACAAAGATGATGAAACAGAAAGTAAAGCTAATTGAATAAAAGGTGAAACTGCTGAAGACTGAATGAAAGATGATTTGAGAGAATTTGAAGAAATAGGAAAGAGACTTATTACTGAGGCACTTTATTAGCATAAGGATGCTGTAAAAAGTATTAGAGAAATATACACTGGAATTTCAAAAACTACAATCTAGAAGAAGAAAAAGAAAATAAAAGTTTAGAAAATGATACAAAAGAAATGAAAATACTTGATATATATTTTAGAAGTACTAAAGCATCAATTAGTATGTTTATATCAAAATTATCACAATCACCACAGGTGTTGTAACCATTTTCAAAATCTTTAATATCTTTATCTTAATCTTTAGAAATTACACAAAATATATAAAATCATTTAAAATAAATAAATTACCAATGCATAACATTAAAATCTGCAAAAGCAAACAATAAACTTTTTACTTATGATTATTTATAATGTTTAAGTATACGCAAATTCATACAGCTATTATTAAATGAGAAAGGTAAAATGAATACTAGCAATAAGATTACATAAACTATATAGAATAAAGGCAATTATATAGCGAGATGTATTCAGAAATAGGAAAACTATTTTATAGAAACAGGAGAGCTTCTTATTTACTGTCAAGAAAAATACAAAAAATTAAAAAGTTTATTAGAAGATAAGAATTTTAAGGAACATTGCCAAATCTGATTACAGTAACAAATACCAGAATCCTGTTTTTTTCAGAAACCTAAAATATATGTTGAAGAAGTACTATTTCCAAAATTAGTCAGACACATTAAGAAAAACACAATTTTTGAAAAAACTTACTAAAACTATAAGTATTTATGGAGGTATAAATATGATAAAAGAAGGAAAAGAGTTTATTATAATAGGCATAAGCGGCTAGATGTTGTAGCATACAGAAAGAAGTAGTTAAAAAGGATGTTTGTATATAAAGAATCTATGAAAAATTTTGATAGTGATATGTTAGATATTATATTAAAATCACAAATTAAGCTAGAGGAAAAAGAATTTGTACAAGTGACACATGATGAATGTTACTTTTATGTAAATAATAGGTAACAGAGAATCTGAATGAGGGAAGAAGAGAATATTTTATATTGGATGTTCTATTATAGTTTCAGCCTTTCTTTGTTTATGTCATATATTAATACAATTATCTGACAAATAATCGCAAACAAATCCTCATATCAAACATAAGGAAACTTTTGTTTTCTAATTTATACAAGCAGATGGATATTGAAAATCAGAACATATGTTAGATCAGGTAAGCAACTGTACTATATTATGTAGAAATATAAGAAAATATTAAAGTTTCTCTTTATTTATAAATAAAGCTCATACATCAGGTAATTCTGATATTTAAGGTATCGCATTCTGGATGTGTTAGAGTTTTTTGCTTTAATCAATCAACAACTATAATGCTATAATAGCTAATATGCTTATTGCATCAAAAATGAACATGAACCTTAAAAGAAAATAGCTTGCAATACATAATGATTAGTATGTTAATGAGTATGATAATAAGATTGAATAATCAATGATATTTTCAGAAAATTATCAATTGAAAGAGCAACCAAAAAATATAAAGCAAGTGCTTAAAGAATGTAATCTCTGGCCAATAAAGAGCATTTGTTTAATGTATAAGCAGTATTTTGGTAAATGTGATGAAGTTAATTCAGAAAAATTAGACTGTTGTATATGATGAATCATATCACTACAATTGGATTTTTGTGAATAGCAATCAATATTAGAAAAAGCTATTATAAAAGTAAGACATATATTTGAACAATACCCAAATTCTATTGCAAGTGTAACTTTTTAAAGCAATACTAGGGTAATGCAAAGTGAGAGATTAGGAGGCTATGTAATTATAGTTTTGCAGATTTATTAAAGCAGATTCTAAAAGTTCTTATTAGTATACCTATAACAACTATTTGTAAGTTTGTATGTAAGTCATGAAGATATATAAATGTGTATAACAAAGAGTTAAAAGATAGAGCTGCAGAATAGGCTGTTAATAAGTATAAGTCATATTATAGAATATTAGAGAATATTAAAGAATTAATGGCTTAATTAATACATAACTATTTATTATAATACTGTAATACTACTTTATAGCTTCTTAAATCTTACTAACATTTAATTAAAAGTATAGCAAAAATAATAAAAGAAAGGTTATGTTTATCAAATTTTTAGTAATTATATTACAGAAACTTAATCAGAAACATGTTTTATAAATACTATTGCTAAATTTATTACATGCTAGTATTTTTTACATAACGCATAGTTACATAATATGTGAGATCTTATTGGTTAATACTAAATCATGTGATTTAAGATTAGCACTGAAAATTTGAAATAAAGTCACGTGATTGTCAAGTATAAACTTTCAGCACTATATAATAAATATAAAATTTTGTAGATCTTTAATATAATAAAATAAATTAATTAAAAATTAAAAATTATTTAAAATCTAAAACTATTTTAATTATTAAATATTCAATTAAATAAAATATAATATGATAAACAAAAATTTTATATAATAAAAATTTTCATATTAATTTATTAAAAATATAAAATCCTTTACTTTATATCAAATGGAAATTTACTAAAAAATCAGATTCTAGGATTTTTTTTTAATTAAAATTAAGATTTTATTAAATTTTAATCTAATAACATTAAAAACTAAATATAAAAAAATATTAAAATTTTATAAAATTTCTAGAATCTAATTTTTTAACAATCTTTTTAATAATAATAAAAATAGGTATTAAATAAATTAAAATTTTAATCTAATAATATTAAAAACTAAAAATATATAAAAATAAAATTTTAATTTTATTTAAAATTTCTTAAAGAATTTAACTTTAAATAACTGATAGTAATAAATACTAATTTACGTGATATGATACAATTATGTAATTATTATTATATCATCAATTTAATAAAATATACTATTGTAGTATAAATGTATAAATAAAAATTCTTTCTCCATATTTATAAAACTAATTTTTTTCTTTTTTTATTCACAAACTAACTTTTTTTCCTTTTTTATTCAAAAAACCATCATTTTTCTTTCTTATTTAACATTTTTTCTTAATAAATATGAATAAGATGATAAAAAGCAAGCTTTTAATTTAATATTGATTAAGATGTTTTATTTATATTTAATGAAATAAAAAATTAAATCTGCATTAAAATATTTATATTATAATAAAAATACTAGTATAATTAATCCATTCAATCTAAATTTATATATAAATATATAACAGTCTCATTTATCTATATTAAGAAATCCTTTATCTACTCTTATTTTTAATAAAGTATATGCTAATGATGAACTTGATGCTAAAGTCATAAACAAAAATAATAGTAAACAAAATATATATATAAAATATGTGAAGAATGTAGTCTGGTCATAATACCAAAAAATATATCAAATAGCAAAGCAACTTCATAGTTTCTGTTTAACTTTGTTAGTTATGTTTTTAAAATAAATATTATTTAAATAATTGGCTTCTTTTAGAATTTTTTCTTTTTTATAATAAATTTCAGATCTATTGTAATGTAAAAGTAAAAATTCTTAAATGCTAAACTTTTCTTTATTGTGTTTATTTTCTCTTAATTTTAAATTTTTTAATTGACAATGTTATATAAGGCATAATAGTAATGCAGTGATAGTCAACACTGATTATGATTAAAAAAGTTCTTTCTTAAAATCTAAATTTTTTAAAAATAATTTTATATTTTATAAGTAAAACTTTATTATTATAAAATATATATTAATTTATAATTATTTTTAAAATAATATGATCAGCAATAATCAATAATTATATTAAAAAAATATATATATATTATCATAAAATATAAATATGATCTGATCTGATCTATTAAATATTAAAGTATTATTATATAATTTTTATTAATTTTTTCTCATTTATCTTTTTTTGCTAAAGTTTATAAATTGATTTCTAAAAATAAATTCTGCTTTTTAAGATTTTAAAGATTTCTATTTTTTAACTATTTATTATTATTTAAATTTTTAGTTTTAAATAGAGAACTTAGAAAAATTAGTATTTTATTATTAATATTTATTTGTATTAGCTTTTTATTCTTTGAAAAGAAACTTTCTTTTTTTTGTATTTGATAGTATAAATAAACAATATTTTTAATAAATAAATTATTTTGATTATTTTTTAGTATATTTGATACTTTAATTCAATTGATCAATAAATTGTTTAAATATATTAATTTAAAAAAGTGATAATTTATAATATAAATTTGTTAGATTTCAAAAATTAGTTTACAAATTATATAATTATAAGATAATACATTTAATAGTAAATTAAAATTTTATTAAATAGTTAAAAATTATCTTTTTTATAATAAATTTATTTTTAAAAAAAATTTAATTCTAACCTTTAAATTAAATTAATTATTAAAATATATCAAAAATTAATTATAGTTAATTACTATATATAAGATATATAAGATAAAAAATTTCTTAATAAACACAAAATATATAAAATATATATAAATTTATTATTATTTAATTTAAATTTAATTTAGTATTATATATATAAATTAGATTACTATTTATCATATTATATCACATCTTATTATTTTTCATTTTACTTATTAATCTAAAAGCTTAAAAAAATTTTTACTAAAAATATTATTTATTATACTTTATATTTTATATTATATTTAAATATTTTATATGGGAGGTTTGCTATTAAAATCGAGTTACGAACATAGTAAATCATATGATCCGTAAGGTGATTTTAATAGCTTACCTCCCATATATAGTTAAAAAATTGTTTATATAATAATAATTAATATTTATAAAACTTTGCTATTAATTACTATTAATGATTATTACTAATATTATAAATTCTCTTTTTTAGACATTTATGTACACTTTATTTGAATTTTTGCCAAAATTAAAATTATCTTTTTAAAATTATATAATATTACTTAACCTTAATAAGATATTATAATCAGAATTATAAATTTGACTAAAATTAAGAATGTGACAAATAATATGTAATAAATATAATTTTACACTTAAAAAATTCTAAATTTTCAAAATATATAATAAAAATAAAATATGAAAGATATGATTTAAGATGACATATTATTTATATATAAAAATCATGCAATACTAATTATAATTAATTATTAATAATATATATAAGAATATTATATATATATATAATAATTATATTATTAATTATATTTAAATAAATATTATAATTATTAAAACTTATATTTTTTAAATAAATAACATTTTATAAATTCATTAGCTTTAACACAAACTATATCTATTTAATATATTTCTTTTATTCATCATTAAAAGAATTTATTTTATAAATTAATTTTTATTTGTCTAAGAATTTATAATTTATTATATTACTTTTTTCTTTTAAATTATTATTTGTTTTTATTTACATTTTATTATCTCTTTATTATATGTTTTTTATTATAATTCTAATTATTATTCTTTATAGTTATTATTATTATTATTATTATTATTTATATTATTATTCTCATTATTATTCTTAATATTATTTTTATTTTTATTCTTAATATTATTCACTATATTATTCTTAATTTTATTTCTAATGTTATTTTTCTTTATTGTTTTCTCTTTTTATTTAACTTATTTATTTTTCATTATTATTTTTTATTATTATTTTTTTTTATTCTTTTTAATTATTCTTAATTATTATTTTTTATTATTATTTTTTTTTCTATTTTCCATGATTATTTTTATCAATAGTTTTAAGTCATTATTATTAATCTTCTATTATATTTTTTATTCTATATTCTCCTTCATATTTTTATAAATTTCTTAAATTTCTATTTGAGTTTTCTTTATTATTTTTTCTCTTCAAATTAACCTTTAACTCTATACATATTATTGACAATGTTAAACAAGATGCTTTGTATAATAACTTAGAACTTTGAGTTCTTCTACAAGATATGTTAAAAATTTATAACAGAATCAATATATTAACCCTATTAAAAGTACTGAAATAGCTTCAGATTCCTTACACATTTATATAAATTATTCTTAGAATCTTTCTTCTATATTTCAATCAAATATTCACTTCATTAATATATACTTAGTGCACTTTGATATTGATCAAAGAAAAGTAATCTTTCTTCTACTATAGTGTATTTATTATGATCCTCTACTATATAGAATTAATAACTCTCCATATAATTACATAATAAATGCATAATAGAAATTTAATATTAGATTACTATAAGTTGACAATTTATCCTATAAAATTTTAACCTTAGCCTTTATGGATGATACTCTTTAAATTTTATGTATCACCACTATTATCAACAGTTTTTATAAATTTAATAACATCTAAGTTAATTGGCTTAAATCTGAATTACTTGTCAATATTAAATAATATACATCTTTTATCATTTAATAGAACAATCAAAACTGATCATAATTTAAGTAACAGTATTCAATATTTAAAAGTGTAAATTTTGCTTTAATCAAATAATACTTATATATACAAATAGCTACAATCAGAGATAAAAAATGCAGTGACTCTTATGAAAAATAAGCGTTTGACAGACTCTTAATTAATTTACATATATAATACAGATCTCAACTTACATTATTTCTAGTTATTTAATATAAATAGATTGTTATTATATACTTATTCTTTCTAAAAA